GTGTGTGTGTGTGTGTTTGTTCGTTGCTGTCTCGAATGCCATTGTGGAGGACGTCGTGGTGCTGGACACGGGTTCCGGCTTTCTGAAAGCCATCGCCTTATGTGGAAGAGTACGACAAGACGTGATCCTGATGGGGGACGACAAAGCCAGCAAACCCAAGCAGACACGAAACCCACTGCAATTTGTAGGTTGGCTTCTCCGGTGAAGATGCACCGCGAGCAGTGCTCCCAACTGCAATGGCGACTGCCACGGTGGGACGGCTCAGAGCTTGCCATGCTTTGGTGATCTTTGGATCAACTCGCTCCAGGCCGATGAATCCCGGGAAGACGAGGCTGCAGATGCTTCCTCAGCCGACAGGCCAAACTTGGGTTGCCTGAGCCGTGCCGCGTGACCAAGGTAACCGGAGATTCTGCAGCGCAGAAAAAGAGCAACTTCGCCCCGAATGGTAGGACGGAAGCAGAAGATGGCATCTGATGCCCCTTGAGGTCAAGTCTTCTATGGTAAGGAAGCCATCCTGCAGGTGGGGCACAGGACAAAGGGAGGTAGGCATCGCTTGCATGTCGCAGGAAAACGCGCAAATCACACGTCCGGTGCAGCGTGGCGAGATCCAGCTTACGCAGCCGGAGAAGGACAGGTTGCACACAGCTGCACAGCGACGCTTGCATGTCGGTGCACAACTTGAGACACCACGAAGTCCCGGTGTTGCCCGGAATCCGGGGAGGAAGCAATGGAAAACCTCCTGGAGCACGTGTTCAGAAATGTGCTGGGCGTTGAGCAAGAGGACACCCCGATTTGGAGATGCTTTTCAGACACCTGCAAGCAGCCATGGAGGACTTGCCGTGCCTCATTGCGGACACCATGCCTCTTGGTCAGAGCGACTTGGAGAAATCGGCTATGTCGGAAGTGACAGAAAGAGTGCGGACTGGGCCTCTTGCAGGTTCCTACGCCACACGCCAGTGGATAGCGGAGGCCGCACAGGGACAACTTGCGGCCAAGGCCTCCGCCTCTTCTCTCGGATCCGCTTGGAGGTGATGTTCGAGAAGATCAAGGTAAAGTCCTTGGCCATCTTCAACACGGCAGTCCGGAGCCCAAGAAAGCAGGCACTGCCAGTGTCGAGCAGTCACAGCCCAGGCCCTAAGCTTGTTCTCGACGGGCCGTGTGCCCCTCAGTGAAAGGCTTGGCTTGAATTCTTGAGGGCTGCACCGGCTCTCAGGCACCAGAGGACTGGTTCTGGAGAGTGGTGAGGGCATCACCCAGGCTCCCGCTCTGCTTGTGTCCGAAATCCCTTTGCGGCAAACGCCATGCCAACCAAAACCGGGGGGCGCTGTTCAGACTTGCATGCCTTTTGGACAGACCTCTGCCTTGAATCCAGGCTGTTCCGGTTTTCGAGGGGTACGCGATACCTCACGCGATCTTCAAGATGAAGGTCGCACTCTTAGCGTTGCTGACCATCGTTCAGCCGGACTCATCACTTGGCTGCAGTGCAAATTTTGTGCGGAACGGGAGCCCGGCGGCCTTGCAATGGGGTCATCGTTGCTGGGAAACCCCAAAGCACGAGAATTTCCGTCTGATGTCCGCCGGCTTGGGTCTTCGGGTTCGGGTTAACTCATTCAAGGTCGCTGGGCACGACATTACGCAGCGCCTCCAGAGTATGATGGCTCTCCCCTCGGATACTGAGCAAAGTGACAGGGGGAGGGGCACGTGGAGTCTCAAGCCCAGGGCCCAGTCCACGAACATGACGCTCCTTCTCTGCCTGAGGCTGAAGAGCTTGGGACAAAGCAGAGCCATCACACTATGCAGGCCATGAAAGAGAAAGTGCCTTGGAAGCGCCTAGCAGGGATCTCCGACCTCTGCTGACTTCTGCGCTCTTGGTTGCAGTCCCGACTGCTTCCCAGGTCTGCTTCGTGGCACCCTCCGGTAGTGGTGGCGTCCCGGCCGACGCGCCGCGCCCCCGCTCAACGCCTTCCCAGGCCCCGCCGGCGTGCATCCAAGTCTGAGGCCCGACAGCGGGGACGAGGAAGCGAGGTCTTTTGAATTGCCGGACGGGCAGATCATCCAGGTGCTCTTTTAAAGTCCGAAGGGCCGTTTTGCTTGAGGGAGCGTCTTTCGGCAGGTCAAGGAGAAGATCCGGACGGGGGCCACGGAGATCCTCTTTGGCGGTGAGGGGGAGTCGGACACTCAGCTGCCACTGCTCTGTTTTGGCCCAGACCATGGCATCTCTCAGGGCATCCATGCAGAAGATCTGCTTGGATGCCATCAACACAGTGGACCTAGATTTCCGACAGGTGCCCCCACTTCGAAGCTGAGACGCTTCGATCCTTGTTTTGAACGCCAGGACCTGGTGAAGAGCGTGGTGGTCGCAGGCCTGTCAAAGCTGAACGACCGCGGTGCGCTTTGCGTGCCAAGCCTTGGCAGCCGAGGCGGCACTTCGATGCTGTTGAACTTGGCGCCAAGGCTGAGGCCCGGCTCGTCGCGCTGTTTGTGCCCCCGCTGTATATGCCGCTTTTTTTGTTATCTTACGGGCTTTCGAAAAGAAGTGGAAATGTGTGGTGTTACTACAGTGTTCCTGTCGCCTGAAGGGACTAAGCCTGTTTAGGCAGCTGGGCGGGCGAAGCCGAAGCGTCTCTGAGAAATCAACACCAAACTCACCAAGCCGCAAGCACGTTCCCGAGATCGGAGCTCAAGAGCACGCTGGCATCGGAGCTGTCCAAGACAGCCAGAACCCGAAGTTGTTGCTGGAAAAGCAGCGAGAATGGCAGGGATCAGGGCAGCTTCTCTAAGGTGGAGGTCATCAGTGACTCTCAACGCCGCTTCGCTGCCTGGATCGGCGGCTCCATGTTCGCGTCGCTGTCCACCTTTGACCAGGTGGCCATCACCAAACAGGACAGCTTGCCGTGGAAATGTAAAAAGACCGATAACATGCAGTACATGCAGATATCGTGTGGAGACTGTGTCAAGAGATGCAAGGCCCGGATCATGGAGTAGACACATTCCAGTTTCGCTTTCAGCGAAGGGTTGGGGCTGCTGCTGGCGGCATCTGAAAGTCTAAGAGTCACCAAAGGCATGAGTAGAGGAAGTCCTAGGTCCTAGCTGATCGCTCTTGGCGGGGTCATCAGGATGTGCTGTTGAATATTGTTGAAAACTCTGCGCAGATACCACCAGTCGTAACGCAGCACAGCGCCCTGCTTCATTCTCCCTTGCGGGCTTCGATTCTGCTCTCTGGGTCTTCATCGTTTCGACGAGGAGTACGAAGAGGGGAAGTCCGACGTGCGCAACCTTGTGGCACGGAAGACCTTCTGAAGGCGTACTCTATGGGACTAAGCTAGCTCGTCCATGTCCTGATATTTCTGGGCCTGCTTTGAGCGTATTGGGCAGTGCCTTCAGCACTGCTGCACTTCAGCAGGGAGTCGGTCTTAAATCGGATTGTGGTTGCTACAGGTGTGGAGGAGTCTCACCGTCGACTGCGCGCGGCTCTCGGTCTGGGCTCAGGCAGTTCCTGGTGGCAGTGGCAGTCCAGGTCGGGCTGAAAACGGCGCCTGACTGCAGACGTTTCACTCGGCATGGAGGAGAACGAAAAGTGGCTTGGGAATCGATAAGAATCAGTGCAGCTGTTAGCAGAACTGGTTCCAAATCTCAAGTACCAGAGTCACTGCTAAGCTGCTTTGGATCGCAGGCGGTGGAACGTTCCTTTCGCTTTCCTGAGTACTATACAGGAGAGCTGACAGTCGAAAGCTGTTTCGAGAATCATCGCTTCAAGGCATCGATTCAGGGGTTTAGCATCTCAGTTTAGGATCGTCTTCAGCATAAAGCCTGCTTCAATGGGACATGCCATCGGGAAGATGGAGAATCTCATCTGCTGCGGGGAGCGCGGCTGCCCCACGGTGCAGGGTCAGACCGAGCAGCGCAACGTGGCTTTCCAAAGGTTCGTCAGTCGCCGTGAGTCGCCGTGTGAGTTGTGGTGCGGCGAACTGCAGCCATTTGAGGTTTCTTCTGCGTGATCGAGCAGCACTCTGCGCATGGGCCTTTCGACATCGAAGACATCGAGGACCTTGGACACAGCCAGGCCGCGGGTACGAAGGGGGTCGGGGCAGTGGCGCTGTCTGCGTTTCATGTCGCGGTGTCGCGGTCCGGGGTGTGATCCGAGGAGAGGGCTGCTTCCCCGCGGCCGGACCTTGATCAACACGTGGCCGAGGCTGTCCGAGCCCTTGGGACAAAGGCAACTTGGGCTACTGCCAGTGTTGCGCCAGGCCCTGGGACCACTTCTGCCGAAGGCTAGGCTCTTCCCCTTTTTTCTTTTGGCATGGCATGCTGAGCGTCGAGCTTCCCTCCGGCGACTGTGGCTTCTTGCCATGCTGTGCAGAGGATGAGCTGCCGCCAAAGATCTTCGGCCGACGCGGGGGGCCCCAAAGAGCCTTCTGCCAGTGCCAGCATTTTTGACGGCTTGTCGCGTTGTGGTTCAGGTGGAGACAAGGCTTCTTCATCTGTGATCACCGCATCACAGATGGTGATTTGAGAGAGGACCGGGGGCTGGGCGCCCAAATAGCACAGACAAGGTGTGCATAGGTGCCGCTTCCCGAGCGTTTCGAGTCGAGGGAGTTTTACTGTTCTTGTCTACCTTCGGAAACTCTGCATGCTCCGGCCTATAAGTTTCAGCAAATGTGCCGTGCAGGAATGACTTTTCATTGTGTGCCGCAGGGCGGGACTTTCCTCTCGAGGGCTGAGCCTTTGGCCACAGCGGAAAAGGATTAGGGCAAGGTGTCCGCGTGCCACGTTCTTCCCGTCATGGTGCGGGGGCACCCGTAGTTTCGGCTTGAAAGGGATTCGGGAAACGACTTGCGTTCTTCGTCTTCCTTGCTTCGCATATCTAGAGCCTGCATCCGTGGGTCAAAGCCAGCAATCGCAGGAAGTGCCCGGCATGGCCTGCAGCAGCCAAAGTGACCGCCGCAAGCATGCCCACCTCGTGCAACGCAGAAAAGACGGCGTGATGCAAAGTCTTCGGGTGGGGTCAACCGGAGTTCTCACGATAGCAAAAACAGAAAAGCCCCTTCGAAGAGCTGGTTCAAGAAGTCGAAGGCACCGGCTGCTGAGACATAAGCGCCTTCATGACCAGTCCATGATCGCCTTGGTAGAAGCTTGATTCCGTGGGCTAGGACTCAGTGTGTCAGTCTTTTTGAGAAAGAGAGAGAGAGAGAGAGAGAGAGAGAGAGAGAGATAGAGAGAGAGAGAGAGAGAGCAGAGAAAGAGAGTGCGGTGCCATGGCTGGTCAGTGTTTTGACGGAGAAGTGGTTTGGATGCCCATCTTAAATGCAGAGAAGGTTCTTTGCCTGAAAGTGGTGCCAGATTCGCCCCTACTGTCAACTGCTGCGCACGTTCTGGATACCTGCATGCAGCTAGAGACGACGCGGAGTCGCATGGAAGCGACTGAAACAGATGTCACCGCTCAAGTGCTGGCCGTCCTGCGTCATGCAGGCAAGTGGCCTGCCGAAACATGTGCTTCCATGATTGAGCTGGACGATACGAGGGCTGTAGGAATGGGGTCCAACATCAAGCACAGGAGGCGTGCCGCTTGGCTTGCGTTGGCCTTGGCCTACGTGGTCTCTGCAGGGCACCGGCGACATGTTAGCAATGAGCACCTAACCCAGACCGTGACAAGCTGTGGGCTGGCGAGCTTGGCTACAGAAGCATGGAACACAAAACGGATGCCCCTCAGCTATCCCTCCGTGGAAGATGCTGCTCCCACCGTTGCCACCAGGGACGTCAGGGGCTCTGCAGTGCCTGCCGCAGGCTTTTCAGCCCCTGCCCCAAGGGCTCCACCCAGCAGCTCCAGCGAGCTGCAGATTCGGGCCCGCCAGTTGGGTGCAGATGAGACGGTAGTGAATGACCCATTCATGACTGTAGATGAGACTCTGGGATCTGTCCTCTGCGCAGCCTGCGGCAAGCACTTTACGCCAGAGCATGGGATGAATCGGAGGCACTTGAACTATCGGAGAAACGTCCGGGAGACCCTCATGTGGGTGCGGAACGAACGCAAGACCTGTCTGGGCATACTCCAAGCCCAGGAGGAAAACCAGGTGACCCAGACCACGGCCGTGCCGATGCCCCGTCCTGGCCCAACCATGGCTGCAGCTACTCAGCATGACAGCGACAGCGTTTGGGGGGATGATTTTGAGGTCACCGGAGCGACCCACGTGCCGGCGCAAACAGAGCCGGTAAACTCTTGGGAAGATCTGGCCGTCCCAGACACGCCGACCCTAGAAGAAACCTACGACTTTGCCATGCAGCTCTATTCGAACTTTCGGCCGAATGCTGGACTACGAAAGCATTCTTTCAAGGATCCCCTCGGTGTTGAGGAAGTGTGAGCGACGTGTCAGCACCCGTTCAAAAAGGCCAATGTTTTGCATGCTGCGGCTTCTGCCGGTTGGCTCCATGCTGCAACATGTTGTGAGAATCGAATCCATTGCAGCCGACAGGCTCACAACTAGGTGATGTTGGTTTCAAGTGTTGACCACCTTGATCGTTGGAGTTCATTCACAGCCGATGACCAGCTAGGAAGGAGCCCAAAAGGAAATTGGAAACGTGGCAGTCGCTTCTTCGGAGTTATGCAGTCGTTTCAACGTGGTCAGGGTGCAGCCTGACTGCCATGCCGCGAGCAGATGTGGCGAACCTCTCGATACTTGGCCGAGCTGTTTGAGACTTAGGGTCCAATTTTTGCAGATAGCATTTCCTTTAAGCTCAGGCTGCGCCAAATCAGCGATGAGCTGCTGCCGAGGTCACGAAGTCACTAAGTTTAGCAAAACGCCGAAAGAGCACTTTCTTCTCAGATGCTCAGGGACTCTGCTGAGATCCAGGCAGTGTGTGGTGCTTGGAGCTTCCTCTCGTCCCACGGCGTGCCGCGCATGAACCATGTGGCCAGTGAGATCAAGACCTCAGCCATTTGGCTTGCGAAGTAGGCAGTAGGCTTATCTCCTACTTCGGGTAGAGCCATGCAGGATGCGCTCTGCGATGCATGTGGAGCAGTGACTGCAGGAGAAAACTTGCAACAAGAGAAAGAATAGCTCTTGCGAGCACAGGGCATCCGCTGAGGAGGCCTACAGATCGAGGTGCTCTGCGGACGGCTTGAGGGAACTCACCGAGTCCCAATGCGGGAGGGAGCTCACCGAATCCCAGATCGGCACGTCCCGTCGACCTTGGAGGATCTCGCGACTTGCTGCGACTCTCACCTGACTCCCAGCTCTTCGCGTGTCGATCGGCATTTCCAAGGATTGAAGTTCCAGACCATTTCATCCATGGGTCTGTGATGGATGCCCATGTCACGGCACAGTTCCAAGAGATGCTCAACTATAAACAGAAACCCAGATACGCGCGGAACCTGTGAAAACTGAAGAGCAGCCAAAGGCTAAGGCGTCCGAAGAAGCACCCATCTGTGCCGCTCCGTAGGCAGAGGCCAACGAGTTCAACTACTCCTGTGTCGGAGTCTCCCCCTGTCTTGCGAGGATGCTCCGTAGAATACCAAAGATATTCGCATCAAGCCTCGTTTTTGCGTCTGAAGACTGCTGCAGAGGCCCCGTACTTAGGAGTCGACACACTGTGTCCAAGGGAAACTCCAGAGAAGAGCTGCTCTGTTCTCATCAAGGCCTAATCCACCGCGTGCTCCGCGTGTTGACCTCGTTTAGGCCTCCTGGCCGTTCGATGTGTTGGATGTTCTCGTAAATGCATTACCCCCGAAATGAGAAAGTCAACGTACGTAGTAATGAGAAAATATCCCTGAAATCCGAAACACCGTAACAAAGAAAGCATAGGCAATTCGCCAGTGAAACACAGCCAACATCATGAAAAATAACGTATATCATCGTATATCGTAGACACCACCACAGAAAATCAATAATCCCCGACGAGCCCGATGGACTTCTCGGGCCGACGCCCTTCAAATCATGTCCGATGTGTTGGATGTGCTGGATGTGCTGGATGTGCTTGTAAGTCCATTCATCGACCCCCCGGTTTTCGGTTCATAAATTTGCCGCAGACTTGTTTTCCTAAGCATGATGCCCTGATTGCTTTGTTTACTTATGTTCCCAATGATTTGGTTCTCCATCCTTCTGGTTTCTTTCCACCGCTTATACGCCGAAACCCTGAACTGTTGAATCCAGACCTCACCTGGACCTAGGGCCGCCGAAGCGCTCTCCCGCGGCAAAAGGGCGCTGCATCTGACGGAGGCCCCCGCTTTTTGCTCCGTGCCCGGCGGCTTGTGGGAAGCCTAAACAGCCCCCATGAGCTCGAAGCAAGCACGAAAGACCATGTTCGCACAATGCGCGAGCCCATGCCCGTAACAGATCGTACTCTCTGGCCGTCTGGCATCATCAGACTCACGACATGCACAAGTGGCTGGGTCCCAGGACTTCGCACGGGAGCACTACAAAGACGAGGCTGCCTTGTCGCAGCTCTACGAGGCTCAACGGCTCAGCAGTGTCGCGGCTTTCGGAATGCTCCGAGCCCAGGTTGTTGACCGGCTGCGAGTCGCTGCGAAGGACTTGCCGTTGGGGCTGTGGAGCTGTGATGCGGCGGCAGTATCCTTTTGCAGAGGATGTGCAGAACTACGTTGACCGGTCTCTGGTTCTCACCCATGCCTTCGTGCCAGTCATCGAGGTGCAGCTTTTCTGTTTTCGGTCGATACGATTGCACGTGCTTCTTGGGCCGCTGCCGCTCAGAGCACGTATCCTTGCCACGGCGGCAACCAAGCGGTTTCGACGCGAACTGAGACTCGAGGAGAATGAGTGCTTTTGTGCGGTCTGCACAGCTCCGAGGCTGGCACACAGCTTGCACCTGTCCCTTGGTCGGGTGAAGGCTCTTCTCAGCTTCTGTTTCCCGGCATCACAACTTGTGTTTTTGTAGGAAGCGGTGGGTGGAGGAGGTGCTCACGGATCAGGCCTTGTTTCCTGAAGCGATTCGGAAAGGACGGCGAACAACAACCAGAGAGAAACATCACCAGCTTAGAAGGTGGGCTGCCGCCGAGCCCTGGGGAGCCCTGGCTGCAGGGCAGGAGAATGCGACGGCCCGCAGATAAATGTCTTGTGGGCTGAGGCGGCGGATTTGTTGGCTGATACCGAGCGGACAATTGGGCAGCAATCCCAGCAGCCGCTTATGGACCGCTTCAGAACATAGAGCAGCGAGAGCAGAGCAGAGCGCGCGAGGTCGGTGACTGGTAACACGCCGGACGGCCAGCGGCTCAGCCTTCCAGCTGTGACTTCATTTCATGAGGGTGCGTGCTAGGCCTGCAGCCCATACTGGAGGAGTCCTCACAAGCCTCGCGTATTATCATGTTCTGGTGCGCCTATGCGAGGAGAAGGACGACCAGCCGGAGGAGAACGTTGTCATGGCCAGCATGCCGCTAGCAAGCCTTGCGGCATGCAGGTGTGCTGCAAAGTGCGTTCCTGTGCCGAGTGACGGACGTGCCGTCCAATTGCATCAGCTGCGCAGAGCTCGCAGGCTGCAGTTCCACTGCTGGCGGTGGCGGCAAGAAGATGCCAGACGAGGCTGGTAGCCTAAATGCCAAACACTCTAGATCGTCGTGCTGTGAGCTTAGGTTCACTACATGGCTTCTTGTGAGCTGGCAGAGCAGCGTATGTGCAGTGCGAGTTGGGGACGACATGCTGTGGACCTCAGACAAGGTGTATTGCTGGTATACTTCTCTTTAGCAGCGCTAAAATCGCGTGCACACTGGAAGCCGCTTCGTCGTGTTGAAAATGCAAAGCCGTCTTGCAGCCGTCTTGCAGAGTGGATGTCCTGACGTCCGATCGTGGCACCATGGCAGCGTGAATCCAAGGCTTCCGGCTCATCACAAACCCGAGGCTTTCGCAAAGAAGAGGGGGCCAAACCAAAGCTGGGAGAGCTATAATAGCTGCATAGACTTGGAGGCTTGCTCCCCTAAGAAGTTTCCTCGAAATGGTTTGCTAAGCTCGCCGTCGACCACAATGATGGGAATGTGGCTCAACTTAAGTAGTACCTTGGCTGTGTGGCTATTGATCAGCCTGCCGAGTGTGAGGTGGGGCCCGGGTGGTCCAGGCGGTCCCGGCGGTGGGCATTGCCTGGGAGTGGCGTGCTCATCTGTCGCATCTGCTCGCATCTGCTGTCCCAGAGCGACTGCCCGAGCCGAGGCACCGATGGGAGCGGCTCAGGGCCTCCCTGGAATGATGTGCTCACCCCAGCTGGAGCGATGAGACGTCGGGCCTTCTTAAAGTTTAGCATGAGACAGCGATTTCGCTCGCAGGCCCTGTGCTGGCTGCGGCGCCGCAGCAGTTCCCGCAGTCCCAGGCAAGTTTCACGGTTGACTTTGGCTTTGCAACCCAAGATGCCATGAACAGAGGGCTCTGTTGAGGGCGTCCGGGGCGCAGGAGCAGGAATGTCGCTGCCAGCTATCAATGAAGGAGTCCACTGCTGGGTCCGAGAACCAAATCGGTGGTTGCACGGAATGCTATGTATGCTTGCTTCGCTTCGGGTTGCTGGAGGACAGCGCCACTACATGGGACAGATTGTGATGGGGATGAAGCCGGCAGCCCGGTAGTGGCTGTGGCGGCTGTGGCAGCTACACGAAGTAACACCAAGCAACACGATGCTAAATCATCCCAATTGGAAGCTCAAAGCGGCTGTTTTTGATGCTGTCGAGTTGTGGTTGCACTCAATGTAGCGAGAGGGTTTCTTTGTTGCCGTTTGGGGTCGCGACTCCCAAAAGGCTTTTCTCGAGTGGGATCCGTGGGTTTCGGCACAGTGCACTTTTCGTGTGCTTCGTGATGCGGTCAAGATTGACCTCTATTTCCGGTTGGGCATAAACGGGTGGGATTGTCGGCGTGCTTTGGGAGTCCCAAGAGTTTGACCTGTTTCGTGGTGCAGTTTGGACCCGGGCGCCGCAACAGCATGTGTTTTTGTTCGACCTGGGTGACGGTCTTGTCGCAGCTTGGGCTGGGAACACCACAGCAGCGCGGACCAGGGCTTGAGCTAAGTCTCGCTTTTCGCGGAGAGGCAGACCAGGGGCAGAAACAAGCATATTGTTCATAGTGTCAATTTTTCTTTTTGAGGGGGAGGGGGTTGGGGAGGCTAAATCGTCCTCCTCCTGCTCCTCCTCCTTCTACTGCTTCACTGCTACAATCATCCAGACTTAGATTGGCGGGGTTTAGATCCTTTAAGGCGTATGAACAGTGGAAGATCTGAAGCCCATGATGTCTTTAATTTATGTGCCCTTATTGTAGGGTCTGGCGGCACGGGCCGGCATGGCCGGCAGGATACGAACTCAAAGCCCGAGCCCAAAGCCTCTACGCAAGCATCAGCAGCATCATTGTCAGTGTTGGTGGTTGCGGCCTTCTTTCTTTTCTCATTGGTGGAGTCTTTCACGCTGTGCCGCCCTGAAGATTGCGCAATTTCACGTCTGCGCCGAGCCCCCCTCCGGCGAACCCCGCTGATGCTGATGATCCCTCCAAGGGCTTCCACAATCCACTCAAAAATTGGCAGACACCGCCTCGCGCCTCGCGCTGCCTTCTCATGATGCTCGGCACCGGGTGCGGCTTGCCGGCCGCCCATTGCTGAAGCAAGGCCTGCAAGCTACAGCTCGCCTGAGGCGAGTACTCACAGGCCCTTCCAGGGGGCGGGAGCGCATCATGAGCATCAGGGGCACCCTTTCGGGCGCTTAGGGGGGCTGCTGCAGGCGCTGCGCGCCTGTGGATGCAGTGGCTACCGCGTCGGACCACGGCCAGATTTAAGGGCTGCGCCAGGTGCCGGCATTGGCGGGCAGCGCAAGCAGCCAACCCGGGACCTTTCCCACAAATTTTGAATCCCATCAAGGCGCCCGAACAGTGCGCATCATGAACATCAGAGGGGGGCAGTCCTCCAAGACAGAAGCGCGAACTCCCAGAAAGGGTTTTAAACATAATCTTCTGGGCCTTGAGCGCCACTGCTCTCCACAGACCCCCGCAAGAGCCCACAGACTTCCCAGCTGATGCGCATGATGCGCGCCCGCGGGGTGCCCAAGTTCACACCCCAAGGCTCGCGAAACAGCGTCTTGAACGACAAAAATTGAGACCTGGAAGACGTCGTCTCTTTTCGTGGAGGTTGAGGCGGTGAAGCCACAAGAATAGTGCCCTTTCGTACCCTGCCGGGTTGTAGCGATTTGAACAATTTGACCGCTTTGGTGTTGCAATTGGTCCTGCGACATGAACATGGGTGCAAAGGGGTGCCCGTGGCGTGCAATGCCCCCTTACCGACGCGGTCGCAGCTCGCAATGGTTGGCAGGAAGCCCTAAGCGGCCAAAGCTCGCATCCTTCGTTCTGCCAACCCTCCAACCCGTTGCCCTCCAACCCGTTGCCCATGCAGGCAACGCCCAGCGCCCTGTAGAAGTAAATCGAGCTTCTTTGCACAAAAGCTCGCATGAGCAGATTGGCTGTTCCAGATCTCAAGTGATGGCAAGCCAGGCTAGGCAGGAGACCCTCGCCAGCCTTGGACAGAAACCTGCAAGCCTTTCCTGAGCGTTTGGAGCGGATGAAGTGGCGGATGGGGAAGAGCAGACGGGAGGGCAAAGTGCATTCAGCCAGCTTCGTATCACCGAGGACCGGCAACCTGTTCCAGGTCGCGCAAAACCTGGAAGCAGCCGTCAATTCTCAGGCTGGGGATAGCAGTCTTGAGCGCTTTGCGGTCCAGGAACTGAGGGTCATGGGCACAGTGTGCCACTTCTCGCGGACTGTGAAGATCTTTGAAAAGAAGTTGTTGGGCTGATGGGCTTATGGGTGCAAATCCATGCAACAACAGTTCGAAGGTGCCCATCCCCCAGGAATTCCTGGCCACAGTGCACCTCTGGATGAAATCAAGAGCGCAGCTAGCGGCTCAAACTATCTCGAAGATAGATGCACAATTTATCTGCAGAAATCTGTGTCAGGACTGAAAGCGGCCTGTCGCAGATGCAGCTCGCGCAATTCATTGGTGCTTCATCCTTCAACAGTCAGGCATGTTTTTGCCCGGGTCAGGGGTGATTCAGTGTGCATGCAGTGCATGTGGCATGAATTCGCCAGGTGCAGGCCAATGTGCAGATGCTTGCGCAGACGCCGCCAGCACCAGCATCACCACCACCGCCACCGCCTGCATTTCCGCCTCCCGCCTCGCCTCCTCTTGCAGGGTCTCCCCTGCCGGCATCGCCACCACTCCCAAATTCTCCAATGTTCATACCCTCGCCACCGCTTCCAAGCTCTCCAATGTACGTGGAGTCGCCGCTGATGGCTGGTGCACGCGACCTGCGACGGCCAGCGGAGCCCTCCCAGGGGCCTAAGGGGCCCAAAGGGCCCGGAGACCGCCGCCCGGCAGAGCCCGCGAAGCCGCCGAGCACGGAAGCACGAGACAGTCGCCGACCCGCGGAACCGGATCTGCCACCACGGAGACGACATCCGCTTCCCCCACCGCCATCCACGACGCCCCGCTCCCAGTTATGGACTCACAGAGAGCGGGGTATATCCGCATATCCGCTTAAATGAGAGCAAAGCCGTGTGCCCTGATTCAGGTTCGGCTCGGCCTGCAGCTCCAGCTATCTGGGCTCCGCACATATAGCGCCATGCGGGCCTGTTTGAGGGCCACAAGTAACAATAAGGCAAGCCAGTACTTATCCAATCAAGTAGTTAAGTAAGTAAGCAAGCACGCAAGTAAGTAAGTAAGTACGTAAGTACGTGAGTAAGTCAGTATGTATGTATGTAAGAGAGAGAGAGAGAGAGAGAGAGAGAGCCGAAAGCCCCATAACAAACGGGGGGGGGCCGGGGGGTTTGACACGCCCCCTACGCCCTGGGGCAGAAGAAGAAGAGAGACCCACGTCGTGTGGGGTGGCAAGGTGAGGCAGTGTTGCGCAAGGTTCTGTGGGGAGGCAGGTGAGGCTGGGATCGGGGGTTCTCTGAATGGAGCTCCAATAGCATAACGGAGAGCGGGCAGCACTGCGCCGTCGTGTAGCCCACTGGCTGTACTAGTGTGTAGCTTAGGGACTGTTCATCGTCTGTCGGAAACACAGTGTACCGCTCGTAGACGGAGTTGGGGAACGCCTGGATGACCTGTGTGCAACCTTTCAGGTATACATGGTTAGGGTCTGAGGAGGGGTGTTGCTTCGGGGGGTTCAGGTGCATACAGGGGAACAGCATCGTTCCACGTACCGGAGCGCGCCTTGTGGGGTTGGCCTTCGGGCCGGGGGGGTACCCCCAAACCCCTAGCAAGCAAGACACCAAGCGCGAGAGAGAGAGTAGCGCCATTTCGGCTCAAGTCGACCCGCCGCTCTCTCCTTGCCGGGGGGCACTTGAGGACGGCCTTCCGAGACTGCTGGCTGTCCCCAGCAGCCTTGGAGGGTGGACGTTCCTGCAAGCGGGGGGAGGCTTGAGTCACATACCCGCTGCCACTTTGCTTCAGAGGCCCTCGGACAGGTCCCTAGCTGCGAGCAATAACCGTGAAGGTGAAGTTTTTACATACTACGACCTTGGGGGGACCTGGTGACTGCAAGTACCCGAACTTGAACGCGCTTGCCAGGGAGGGGACGCTCAACTCCATCCATTGCTTCCTTCCTTTTACCATCACGCTGATCACCTGCTACCTTGACGTTGGGCGGGGGAGACCAGCCACTACCAGATCGTGATTTTGGCAAGAAGGACGACATAGTGAAGACTGACCTACGGGGGATGGAGAAGCAATGCAAACTATGCAGATATGGAGGTGGTAGCACCACCGGCTTCAGGAAACAGCACGAGCGAGCAGATCCACGGTGTCGTCTACACGGGGCGACAGACAGAGGCAACAGCAGGCCTGAGAGAAGCCAGTCGCCGAGAACCGCGCAGAGCGGGGAGCCAACCGCCCCACAGGGGCGAGCCACAGCCTCTCCGTCACCGCTTTCAGAGATGACACAGTTTCGGACGAGGCGGGGGAATCTGCTGCTATACTCACCTCACGCTCTGGACCGCTGGATAGGTCAGGATATCCAGGAAGATGAGTGCCGTGGGGGATACAGAGATGCCAATACAGGAAAGCTCCTCTCGAAAAAGTTGGCTGCTTCATATGAAGCTTTCTGCAACCGGCACTCGAGACGTTGCCGTACGGGGGACAAGGCTGAAAAGTACATCCGCCTGGTGAATAAATATCTGCCCAGAGTCTTCGCGGAAGCACGCATCTATGTCGCCCGGTTCCCAGAACAAGTGGGGGAACTACTCAGACAAGTAAAGAAAGTCCGCAAAAGGATCCGCAAAGAACGGGGGACAAGACGAAGCCAGTGAGCCATGAACACAAGCAGCTCTGGGGGAGCCGCCGTGCCAAAGGCAGCCCAATGTGTGCCACAAGCTGGGGATGCCCTTCGCGACGATCCACATGGTGGGGGATCGACACAGAAGCCACAGGCCGAGCATGAGAAAAAGGCGCGCAGTGAAGACACAGGTTGTGGGAGAAGGGAGCCACTCGACACCGACACACCGCCCGACTGGTCCGACGACGAAGCTGTGCCGTTGCGCAGTTGGCCTTGGGGGGAGACTCTGGTCGCCCCTCCGACCGAGGAGACAGCCCAGGCCCAGAGATCGAGCGAACCAAGGGGGAGTCCGCCATCCCAAGACTTGCCTGCTGCAGAAGGGGGGCGTGTCCACTTGGTTCCCAACCTGCACTGGCGGGGAGTACAACAAGTACAAGAGCATATGGCAAGAAGCCGTGCAGAGCGAGAAGCCTCGAGAAGCTGATAGGGGGAGCCGTCAACGCTCTTGGTACCGATCGCCTGCCGAGAAAAAGACCGACGCAGCAACTTCTGAGGGGGGACTAGGTGTGAACTTTTTAAGGGCTTAGTTGCCTTCTTCGTTCAACCCATGTACTGGGCCACATCGCCCGAAATCTTAGTGTCTTTTGAATTCACCTGTACACCCACAGGGAATTCGGGGGACAGCTAAAGCCTCAATTCGCTTTCGTTCTGTAATATGAGTTTATTACAAAAACATATACACGAATCTATGAAAAAAATAGGTTCGTACAAAACGTCGTCAATGTGCTTTATCAATCAATCTACCGTGATTGTAATGTGAGTTTAATACAAAAACATATACGCGAATCTATGGAAAAAATAGGTTCGTAAAAAACGTCGACAATATGCTTTATCAATCCGTCTACCGTGATTGTAATATGAGTTTATTACAAAAACATATACGCGAATCTATGAAAAAAACAGGTTCGTAAAAACATCGACAATATACTTTAGCAATCAATCTACCGTGATTGTAATATGAGTTTATTACAAAAACATATACGCGAATCTATGAAAAAAATAGGTTCGTAAAACAACATCGACAATATACTTTATCAACCAATCTACCGTGATTGTAATATGAGTTTATTACAAAAACATATACGCGAATCTATGAGAAAAATAGTGCAAAATATCATAAAATTTTGCACGAATCCTTTGGGTGACCTATCTCAAGATCTGCCCATTCCGATGGAATCTAGCATTTCGGCTTTAGGGTTTTGGTTTTGGGGTTTCGGCTTCAGGATTTCGGGTTTAGGATTTCGGGTTTGGCATTTCGCATTTAGGATTCGGGCTTTGGGATTTGGGCTTTGGGGTTTCGGCTTCAGGATTTCGGGTTTGGCATTTCGCATTTAGGATTTGGGCTTTGGGATTTCGGCTCTCGGATTTCGGGTTAATGATTTCGGGTTCAAGTATAACTAGACCCTTCACAACAGCAAATCCCTTTTGTATGGAAGATGCCCGCGCGCGCTGTCGGCATCAACCCATCCGCCGTCCTGACAGGCGATTTTTTTGGCGTCGCAGAATTGCACGCCCGATTCGAACCAGTCTGAGACTCCGACTCCTTATGGCGGACTTCCGCATCCGCGCTCCCAGGAGATGCTCGCAGCCACGCTTTGTAGGCGAGCAGCTGACGAAACACAGATATGAAGACCCAAACACTTCCTGCAGTAAGGCCCTTGCTTGTGCAGGTCCATGTGTAAAACAACGCAACACAAGTATGCAGGACATAAAAGACTAAGGCTGGGGCCCAGGCATCAGCGGGGGAGCTCAAAAAAACGGCTTGGGGTGCCAGGCCAAAAACATGCAGCTTCCCCCCGCTTCATTGAGCAGGTTTTGAGTTGCCATTAATTCTGCCTGCAGCCGGTTTTATCAAGCACCTGCTATCCGAAGCCCTTCCGACCGCCTCTTCGCCGTTATGTCCTCGGAGGTCGATTCTAGTGTTCGCTTCTTAGAGTTGGTCGTTCAGGTCAGTATGGCCGCCTTGCCCGGCCCCAGCCTCAGGCAGTAGGCACGTTCCTGGTTCACCGTCATCGCGTGAAGGACCCATCTACGCAGCTCCGGTCGTCATCGATATCGATGTGGAGGCCGATGATGAACCAGCGATGGAGCTCCTGCCTTGGACCGTGTTCTGTTTTGCTGGGTGGTAGTGTTTCGTAGCGGGTTCGTCCCAAGTATCCGCGCTGGTGGAGGACGAAACATGCGGCCAAGGCTGAGCACTGAGCGTAAGCGAACCGCCAGTGATCCTGTTGGCAGGTCTACGATCGCGAGGCAAAGCTTCTGGAGGATGTGGAACCAGGCCAGTCCGACTGACACCACGTCCTTGTTTCTGCACTTTCATGCTAGGCGACTTCGTGTACTCGGTCTACGAGAAGGCAGCTGATCGGCAGCTTGGTAAACTTTGGCTTAACTTCAGGTCGTCGACTGGCCCACCAGCTCCGAGGATATGGGAGCGGGCCACCCATCTCGTCATGAAGCACCGCTTGAGGCCGGGTACGGGCAAGTCTTTTTTTTTTAAAGTTCACCTCAACCGCGACTTGCAGGACCTTGGAGTGGTGGGCCGAGGTCCTGCAGCTGGATGTGCAAGGGCCCTAGTAGTGCGTCTTTCTTGTTTGCGTTCCAATTGTCGTCGCTCTCGGTCAGGCGGTGTCTCACGAAAGCGGGCTCGGAGCACCTGGACTGCGGGTGCGCGCTCGCGCGGAGGGCACAAGGGGACCGCCCTGTGTCCTTTTCCCCGTAGAGAGAGAGAGAGAGAG